AGAATTGAAATCATACCATGAATACTTTCAGACCATTATGCTATGAAGCTTGAAATCAACCACAGGAAAAAGTCTGGATAAACTCCAAGAACATGGAGGTTAAAGAACACCCTACTAAAGAATGAATGGGTCAACCAGGCAATTAGAGAAGAAATTAAAAAATATATGGAAACAAACGAAAATGAAAATACAACAATCCAAACGCTTTGGGATGCAGCGAGGCAGTCCTGAGAAGAAAATACATTGCAATCCAGGCCTATCTCAAGACAAAAGAAAAATCCCAAATACAAAATCTAATAGCACACCTAAAGGAAATAGAAGCAGAGCAGTAAAGACACCCCAAACCCAGCAGAAGAATAGAAATAATAAAGATCAGAGCAGAAATAAACAATATAGAATCTAAAAAAACTGTAGAGCAGATCAACGAAACCAAGAGTTGGTTTTTTGAAAAATTAAACAAAATTGATAAACCTCTAGCCATGCTTCTCAAAAAGAAAAGGGAGATGACCCAAATAGATAAAATCATGAACGAAAATGGAATTATTACAACCAATCCCTCAGAGATACAAGCAATTATCAGGGAATAACATAAAAAAATTATATGCCAACAAACTGGACAACCTGGAAGAAATGGACAAATTCCATCCACACTCTTCCCAAACTCAATCAGGAGGAAATAGAAAGCTTGAACAGACCCATAACCAGCAAAGAAATTGAATCAGTCATCAAAAATCTCCCAACAAGTAAGAGTCCAGGACCAGATGGCTTCCCTGGGGAGTTCTACCACACATTTAAAGCAGAGATAATACCTATCCTTCTCAAGCTATTCCAAAAAATAGAAAGGGAAGGAAAACTTCCAGACTCATTCTATGAAGCCAGTATTACTTTGATTCCTAAACCAGACAGAAACCCGGTAAAAAAAGAGAACTACAGGCCAATATCCCTGATGAATATGGATGCAAAAATTCTCAATAAGATACTAACAAATCGAATTCAACAGCATATAAAAAGATTATCCACCATGATCAAGTGGGATTCATTCCTGGGATGCAGGGCTGGTTCAACATTCGCAAATCAATCAATGTGATACATCACATTAATAAAAGAAAAGATAAGAACCATATGATCCTGTCAATCGATGCAGAAAAGGCCTTTGACAAAATTCAGCAAACTTTCTTAATAAAAACCCTCGAGAATGTCGGGATAGAAGGAACATACTTAAAGGTCATAAAAGCCATTTATGAAAAGCCCACAGCTAAATCATCCTCAATGGGGAAAAACTGAGAGCTTTTTTCCTGAGATCAGGAGCACGACAGGGATGTCCACTCTCCCGCTGTTGTTTCACATAGTGTTAGAAGTTCTAGCATCAGCAATCAGACAACAAAAGGAAATCAAAGGCATCAAAATTGGCAAAGATGAAGTTAAGCTTTCACTTTTTGCAGATGACATGATATTATACATGGAAAATCTGATAGACTCCACCAGAAGTCTGCTAGTACTGATACATTAATGTAGCAAAGTTGCAGGATACAAAATCAATGTACAGAAATCAGTTGCATTCTTATACACCAATAATGAAGCAACAGAAAGACAAATAAAGAAACTGATCCCATTCACAATTGCACCAAGAAGCATAAAATACCTAGGAATACATGTAACCAAAGATGTAAAAGATCTGTATGCTGAAAAGTATAGAAAGCTTATGAAGGTAATTGAAGAAGATATAAAGAAATGGAAAAATATTCCGTGCTCATGGATTGGAAGAATAAATATTGTCAAAATGTCAATACTACCCAAAGCTATCTACACATTCAATGCAATCCCAATCAAAATTGCACCAGCATTCTTCTCGAAACTAGAACAACCAATCCTAAAATTCATATGGAACCACAAAAGGCCCTGAATAGCCAAAGTAATTTTGAAGAAGACCAAAGCAGGAGGCCTCACATTCCCTGACTTTAGCCTCTACTACAAAGCTGTCATCATCAAGACAGCATGGTATTTGCACAAAAACAGACACATAGACCAATGGAATAGAATAGGAACCCCAGAACTAGACCCACAAACGTGTGGCCAACTCATCTTTGACAAAGCAGGAAAGAATATCCAAAGGAAAAAAGGCAGTCTCTTTAACAAATGGTGCTGGGAGAACTGGACAGCAACATGCAGAAGGTTGAAACTAGACCACTTTCTTACACCATTCACAAAAATAAACTCAAAATGGATAAAGGACCTGAATGTGAGACAGGAAACCATCAAAATCCTAGAGGGGAAAGCAGGAAAAGACCTCTCTGACCTCAGCCGCAGCAATTTCTTAATTGACACATCCCCAAAGACAAGGGAATTAAAAGCAAAAATGAGCTACTGGGACCTTATGAAGATAAAAAGCTTCTGCACAGCAAAGGAAACAATCAACAAAACTAAAAGGCAACCAATGGAATGGGAAAAGACATTTGCAAAAGACATATCGGACAAAGGGCTAGTATCCAAAATCCATAAAGAGCTCACCAAACTCCACACCCGAAAAGCAAATAACCCAGTGAAGAAATGGGCAGAAAACATGAATAGACACTTCTCTAAAGAAGACATCCGGATGGCCAACAGGCACATGAAAAGATGTTCAGCGTCGCTCCTTATCAGGGAAATACAAATTAAAACCACACTCAGGTATCACCTCACGCCAGTCAGAGTGGCCAAAATGAACAAATCAGGAGACTCTAGATGCTGGAGAGGATGTGGAGAAACAGGAACCCTCTTGCACTGTGGGTGGGAATGCAAATTGGTGCAGCCACTCTGGAAAGCAGTGTGGAGGTTCCTCAAAAAATTAAAAATAGACCTACCCTATGACCCAGCAATAGCCCTGCTAGGAATTTACCCAATGGATACAGGAGTACTGATGCATAGGGACACTTGTACTCAGGGAATGGAAACAAGTGGATGTCACCCGTCTGTGTCCCCATCTATAAGTCTGGAATCAGTCTTTATGGAGAAATGACAAAAACTGAGGTTGGAGAAGTTATGCTTAATATGAAGCTGAACAGAAGCAATTCCAGCGATAAAATATGAACAAGATTTGGGAACAGGGTCATTTATCACAAAAACCTATGTGCACACAAACAGATGCTCAGAAAGCTCCCAAGAAAAGCTCTGAGCTCACACAAGCAAGCTCTCCATTTTCACACAATGGTCAGGAACTTCCCTTAAGTAGTCTATTGGTGTTGCTTTTCTGTGAATGGCTTAGCATCGCAGAATGTGGAAAACCTGCTCCTCCTATAGATGGAAGATGCCACCTCTATTTGTTTTTTATTGCTATAAAACAAATTACACAAACTTAGGACCTTAGCACAGGACACATTTATGGCCTCATAGTTTCTATGGACCAGGGGTTAGATGCTTTGGATGGTTTTTCTGTTTCAGAGTCTCCCTAGGCTGCAATCCAGATATCAGTTGAGGTTGAGAGCTCACCATTGGCTTGACTGTGAAAGGAGCCACTTCCAACCTCCTCCTGCACATTGTTGACAGAATTTACTGAGGTTCCCATTATCTTTCTGGCTCTCAGCCAGCATATGCCCTTATGTCCTAGTCTGCTTGCATTGTCCTACCTTATAGGTGGTTACATGGCTATTTAAATCATGGCCATTTGCTTCTTCAACTCCAGGAGAGGAATCAGTCTGACCTAGGGGAGACCAGTTCCTCTTTAAGGGTTTTAATCTGATGAAGTGAGGCCCATACAGAATATTATCTCTTTTGAATAACTTAAAATCAACTGGTTAAGTATTATAAGTACATTTTTAAAATATTTTTACCTTTTTTATATTTTAAAGGCTAAAACCAAATCAAGATTCCACCTGAATGCAAGGAGAGGGAATTGTACAAAAGTATAGCTCATTGGAGAAAAATTTGGGATGTGTCTGGTATACTGCCTTTTGGGAATTTCCTGAAAACCAGGTGTGTGGAATTGGGGGAAAAGACAAATTTCTGGGATTAGCTTTGATAAGATACAATAGAATATATTCAGATGGAAAAACCCCAGGCATTCTAATTGACTTGGGGCAATAAAGTGTGTGTGTGTGTGTGTGTGTGTGTGTGTGTGTGTGTGTGTGATGTGTGCATGCATGTATCTGCATTGATATGTATGTATTGAAATATAAATTCCTCTGCACATTTTTACAATTTTGGAGACCACTCTTCTTTATCTTTTTTAATTTTATTTTTAATTTTTTTACATTTATTTATTTTTGAGAAGCAGAGAGAGACAGAGCACAAGTGGTAGAGGGGCAGAGAGAGAGGGAGACACAGAATTCGAAGCAGGTTCCAGGCTCTGAGCTGTCAGCACAGAGCCCGACCTGGGGCCCGAACTCATGAGATCATGACTTGAGCCCAAGTCAGATGCTCAACTGACTGAGCCACCCAGGTGCCCCAAGGCTTCTTTTTTTAAGTCATCCTTAAATTAGTGTAAGATGGACAGATAAAATTCTACTTTTCTCACTTAACAGAACAATTGTAACCTGAACAAATTTAAGGAGCTTGATGCTGAGGCCAGTCATTTTGGATGGCTCCAGAGAGCAGACCTTTTGCTGGTAATTGCAGAAACCATCCTCAAGGGTGATATTGTATTTTTCACTCCATCAGCCAGAATTTCCCACCAGTCACAATCCGGGGATACATACGACTAGTCTAGTTTTTATAATTGTTTGGGCTGGAGACTCCCAGGAAGGTATCTACCGAAAAAGATACAGGTTTAGAAAATCTAGATTAGATATTGGCATAAGTGTAACACAAAAGTTGAGAAATTCTTGGGTGTGTGATGTTTTAAATGATGGTTGGTATAGCTGAGTATAGTATCAACTAGTATACCAAAAAATAGATTCCCAGATTATTGTAGCAAAGACTTCAAACACAGTAATTCTCATTAGCTATCTTTTTTCTTCTTTATTCATAAATAGAATAGACAAGATTATAGAACAAAAATTAATTTTCAGAATAATTTTCCAACTAAGGACTTTATGTCCTGGCTACAGAATTAAATTTAGGGTCTCTCTTCATAGTTTATCTGAAATAAATAATAATAAGCATGTCTAAATATCCTAATTGCAGTCCTTGGGGAAAAGGCTTACACTGTGTCTTCCTTTGCACAACAAATCATTTCACTATTGAGGCGCCTGGGTGGTTAAGTGACCAACTTCAGCTTAGGTCACAATCTCACGGTCAGTGAGTTCGAGCCCCATGTCGGGCTCTGTGCTGACAGCTCAGAGCTGGAGCCTGCTTTGGATTCTGTGCCTCCCTCTCTCTCTGACCCTCCCCCATTCATGCTGTCTCTTTCTGTCTCAAAAATAAATAAACGTTAAAAAAATAAAAAAAAATCATTTCACTGTGGTCACAGCATATTTTAGGATTGTATCTACCTAAGGTAAGAAAGGTCTTCTCATTTTATGGCTGAGGAAATACTGATCAAGTGATTTGTATCTGGTAGCACAATTATGAAGCCAACTAAGAGTATATCTTGTAGCTGTGCCTGAATGGTTGCTGAGAATTTAATCTAACTTATTTTCATATAATAGTGGGAAAGCTGAGAGCCAGAAGGATCAAATTACTCACCTCCGCTTAATATATAATTGGAAGTTTTGAAGAGACTAGAATAAATGTGTGCTGATTTTATCATCTATTAACTTTCTGTGGTCATTTTTGCAGTGTTGCTCTCTATTACTACCCTAAGTCTCCTGGAGGGCAAGGACCATGATCCACATTATGGACATTTCAAGTAACCTCTAACAATGTTTCACATTATAGGTTGTCAGCAGGTGATCATTGAAAAGGTGAATGAATAGGAAGGAAAAAGTCTAGTCTATAAAATAAAGACTTAACATAACCAACACTGAAAGACAAGCTTCATTCAAATTATTAAATTTATTTGTGATAAGGCAAGGAATGCATTAATACTGCTGGATTTTCCTATTTGAAAGTAAAGCAAGGGCAGGTTTCTAAAATAAGGTCATCCAAATCCAGTGTAGACCACATACTTATTTCTAAAATATATTATTCGTGAAGCTTTTGAATTTCTGAAAGCGCGTTATTATCAAAGCAGACACAGCACAGCTTGCCTAATACTTTGATGTCGTTCTGTTTTCTTTGTGGTTAAATCTTTGGTTGAAGGGTTGGCAAGTCTGCCAAAATACAATAAACATAAAAATGAACATCGGATAGGATTATATGTCTACATCGCTAATCACTAGACTGATATAAAGAGAGATTGCAAAACTAGAGTGAGGTTCACATTTACCTTTTAATTTGAATAATGATGGTGGTATTTTTCTTTTAAAATGAGAATATTTATTTTATTCTGTAATTCTTGATTTATTCTCTAGTGACAACTTGGTCATGTTAAGTTAGCTAATGTGCATTTAACAAAGACAAACATAGTATAACATGCCCTTTAAACAGAATAAAAGAATTTGACAGAACAGAATATGCAATTGACTATTTTGTGTGTCAGTGTATTATGGTTAAGAATAAATCCACTGACACCAACTTAAGGATCATGAATGCATAGGCATTGATTGTTTCACCTTAGATCAGATCCCCATTTAAAATGAAAGTCAGAACAAATACAGTTACACACAAATATGATTTAAGAAAATTTTAACTGTGTAAACTACATATGTAAAATGCAAAAAGCTATATTTTTTATAAATTCAACAAAGATTTCCTGACTGCCTACTGAAGTTTAGCTATCATATTAAACAGTAGAAATATAGGAATGTAATCTTTGGTTTTTAGTACAGTGATTGGTAACCATGGCTGTTTCATTATTACTTACAGAGCTATTAAAATTAAGACATCTAACCCTTCTTGCAGAGACTGTGATTCAGACCTCTGGGGTAGGTTCTACTGAATTCTATTAAAATTCTGTGATTCAACTGAAGAAACATTTTTGAAAATCCCACTTTCTCTGTATGACTCACTGTGTGAAGACATAATTAAGCTAACTCTAAGAACCGTGGCACCTGGGGGCCTCTGGTTAAGCCTCTGATTCTTGATATCTGCTCAAGTCATGATCTTCTGGTCTCGGGATTGAGCCATACTGAGCATGGGGCCTATTTGGGATTCTCTCTCCTTCTCTCTCTGCTTCTCCCCTGCTTGTGCTCTCTCTCTCTCTCTCTCTCTCCCTTTCAAAATAAATAAATAAACTTAAAAAATAGATAATTCTAAGAACACCATAAAAATATGCCATGGATACAAAATGATCATTGATGATTATATCTAGCCCAATATATTTTTCTCAAAAACTCACTTTTTGAGTCTTCAATTGTTTGATTTGTGTTTAACACAGAAAGGGTAAGAAAATATAATTTTTTCCCCTTTCCACAAGCATTTGTTATAGTATAGAGGAGGTTGGAGAGGCAATCATAGACAGATCATGAAATGTGCTGGCGTTTTGGATTCTTCCTTGGAGACAACAGGGACTCAATAAAGAATTTAAGTAAAAAAAAAATAATATCTGTATTCTAGAAAGCAAAATCCGGTTGCAAAGTAAACATTCCAGAATCTTAATTCTTACAGGGTTGGGAACTACATCTCCCAGCATGTCCTGCAGCAGCCTTTGGAGTTAGACAAGGGTGGAAAAGTCAGAGCCACATAGTAAATATTGGGGGAGGGGGGTAGTCACAGATGGAAGAATTAATAAATGAAGACTTTAAAATAACATAAAAATTTGAAGTGAACAGTGAAGATAATGAGGAAAGAAATGAAAGACATTTTTAAAAAGAAACAAATGGAACTTTTAGAACTTGGAAGCCATATATATATATTTCATTAAATTGACAACAGATTCAATGTAGAATAAAAGATCAGAGACAATGACAGTAGAACTATAGAAGTTATCCAAACAGAAGTAGACATAGAACAAAGTGGAAAAAAATAAACACAGCCTCACTGACCTGTGGAATAATATAAAATGGTCTACCATATGTATTAGAGTCCCAGAAGGTAAGAGGGAATAAGGCAGAAAAATATGAACTAGCTAATAAGAGCCAAAGCAGGTAGTCTAGGACAGAAACAGTGTAGGCAATGGGGGTGGGCAGGTAGTTGTGTTAACATACAAAATAATGTGCCTGTTGTTGGCGAATTTGGTGCAAATTGATCATGATCAAATTGGAAATTAAAGTCTATTGAATCATATGGAAGCTATTTATCAAATACTTTTTGTCAAAAGCTTGCCTAGGGGCTGAGTAGTAACTTGAACTCTAAGAAATGCATTGTAGGTTATCTTTAGAATGGATTATACCAAGAAGAGGATGAAGGCAAGGAAACTCTCTAGGAGACATCTACTCTTGCCTAGTAGTGGGAGACTATGAGGGCCTGAATTTGTGCAGTGACATGCTAAACAAGAGGGTGGATTTGAAAAGCCTTATTGAGGTAGGCTAGAATTTAGCCACTGACTGAATAAAAAATTAGGAATAATTCAGATTAAATTTTAAATTTTGAGCCACCAAGGAAACAAACAAAAAAAAACTTTGTAGAGAAAGAAGACATATATATACTTATATATATATATATATATATATATACTTATATATATATATACACACACACATATGTACATCTATATACATGTATGTACATATGTATACATATACATATATACATACATATATACATGTATGTGTATGTATATGTATATACATATATATATACATATATACGTATATATGTGTGTGTGTGTTTGTGTGTGTGTGTGTGTGTGTGTGTATATATATATATATATATATATAGGACAAGAATTTAGAAATATCAAGAAAATAAATTGTAGATCTAAACCTTGTGAGGCCAGTTTTGTAAATTTAGATGAGGAAGTTCTTTAATTTTACTTAGTGTCTCCCTCAATGCCTAAAACTGTACTTCATACTTAGTAAGTTTTTAAAAAAAGGAAGTTTAATTAGTTGATTAGTATGACTTGTGTACAGATGTTTGGAAAAGACTGCAAACTTTTGCATGGTGAAAAATAGAAGAGAGGAAGCCCTAGGTCTTTGGAAAGGCATACATAGAAGACTGAAGTCATACTCAAAAGTACCAATGGGAATGCACTGCAAGACTGCTTGTAGGATAGAGTTCTTATAGAACATACTTTGTATATTATCAAAAAATTAAAGGATCATGGGCAGCTGCTTTTTCTAAGGAGTTTAGATGTGTAGAATTTAGTGATAGCTAAACAGACTGGCTGTTTTGGGGGGACAAGATGAGACAGTGTATATTTAACCGGTTCACAAAGCAATGAGAATAACTAATTTGAGTTAATTTCTCAGCGTAAACTTAAAATATAGCCAACATAAATACTTTCGAGTGTTACTGCTTTTAATGTATAAGGTAGCAATATGTGGCCATAAAGTATGCAGCGCCAAAAACAGCATAATCATCTAATATTAAAAGCATTGATTAGGAAGAAGTAAGCAATTGTGGCAAAGTCCTTGGAACCGTTAACAGTTCAAAGTATTAAGCTATACTGCAGTCTTTTCAATATGCTGCCTCAGGCAGCCTTTCCACTGCAAAATATTGGATGGTGTGTATGATGTGTGGCACTGCTACTATTTGCTCTCAAGGTTAATCCATCCAGATCAATCTTGGGCATCCAGACGTTGTTTCCAGCCTGTTTGTAAAAACAGTACAACCAAATCAGCAGTGTTTCCTATCAGTTGCATAGAAGACTTATTTTATGTTGAGGTGTAGAGCAATTTCATATTTTTTCAACTTATTTCAGGATGAGTGAATTGTAAACATTTCAAAATATTTAAGTTTGTCTTCCTTAAAAACTCACAAAATTTCTCATTGTTTTCTATAATTGGTGGGACAGTTCTGCCAGTGAGGAAAATGTCTTATTCAACTCATTTTCTCTCAGTTTTTTAAAAGAGTCGTTGCTGATGTGATAAATGGATAGATAGAAAGATAGACACAAACACACATTCACACACATATGTATTGTGTTTTTCATGTATGTATATAATTTATAAAGAACTTTGACAGAAGAGATAAATAAGGCTTCTTATCAAAATCCTAAAAATTTTATCATAAAGTAATTGGTTTAGTAATTCAAGAGCTTTGTATTGATTATTTCATCTCCTTAGCTATGGAAGAAGACTTGAAAATAATGTAGGTATTTTTATAGTTAGTAAATATATAGTGATGAATGTGCTCATGGACTGCTGTTATCTGCATAATTTGCTCTTCATTTACTGGACAGTTATTAGATGCATGATCTGCCACCAGCCTCTAAGAGTGTGATCAATTTATCTCCTAAACCAAATTGTGACTGTCAAATAATTGCTGTATAATGTAGTTTAATTATAAAATCATTAATATTTTATTTTAAAAGATGTCTAAATACAAAAAAAAATTGTTTGCATCAGCAATATATTTAAGAAGAATGTTTATTTTCTAAGCTCATTACTGGAAACTATAATCATATAGCCACATGGGGAAAAGGAAGAAAGTACTATCACATGATGGAATGTAGCAATCCATTTAGTAGATATAGATTCAGTAGTAGACATTTAGGTTCCTGCTGGCATCCTTAGAAACTTGCTGCTACGTCTATAATCCTCTTTATAATAATTCAGTGAATTCAGAAACAGGAAAACCATGGCAGTGCCTAGTGTTTTATTTACACTGTCTCTTACTTTTTTGATGATTTGGGAAAATATGTTTGAAATACTACTACTACATAAACTACTACATCAACAAGAATCTTAAGATTTTGATTATCAAAGTCATACATTTGCAACAACAACTATGATCCGAGTGTTCAACAAAACCAATTTTGTGGTAAACTGGGCACCACAATGGATTAGAAGTTTATCTGTAAAATAATCAAAACCAATTAACTTCATGAGAGAGTTCAACACATGTTGGAATCAGTTAATTAGAATTAATTTAGCTCATCATTATCAATAAATATTTTTCTTGCCTTGTAATTCTTTCAAGGATTTCACTACAATACATTATGTCTTACGACCATCTCAGATTTTCATACACCCACTAGTGAAGAGTAAGCTATCATGTGGTACTGTACATTCTAGTCAATGGTTCATTTATGGTACTATGGCAATTGATGCTACTCAACAAGATTTAATAAATTGTTGTATATATTATATAACTTCACTCTATTTTTTCATACAATTAGGTACTGAAAAATAAAAATCACTAGTATTAGTACCAAAGAGAAGTCCAGAATTCCTGTTCTTAATGCACTTATAATAACATGGAAATAATCAGGTTTTCCAATGCAGCACATTAAATTTTTTTTAATGTTTCAAGTGTTTATTTAAATTCTACTTAGTTAACATATAGTGTAACATTAGTTTTAGGAGGAGAATTTAGTAATACATTATTTACATATAACACCCAGCGCCCATCACAAGTGCCCTCCTTAATACCTATCATGCATTTAGCTCCCCCCATACCAATGCAGCACATTTTTAATATCAATAAAAAATCACTAATTTTTAAGCATTGTCCCTACCTATCTCACACGTATTGTGAAATAAAAATATAAAATTGAAAATACATTGAAAAGCTAGCAAAACGTCAAAAATTTCATAATTATTTCACTCCTCAATGATAGATCTCCATAATTCTACTATTACTGGACTTTGGTAATTTGATTTGTCATTACATATTCACAAATCTTTCATATGGTAAAGAATGGATTTTAGGGTTTTTTTTTTAATTTTTTTTTCAACGTTTATTTATTTTTGGGACAGAGAGAGACAGAGCATGAACGGGAAAGGGGCAGAGAGAGAGGGAGACACAGAATTGGAAACAGGCTCCAGGCTCTGAGCCATCAGCTCAGAGCCCGACGCGGGGCTCGAACTCATGGACCGCGAGATCGTGACCTGGCTGAAGTCGGATGCTTAACCGACTGCGCCACCCAGGCGCCCCTAGGGTTTTTTTTTAAATCAAGTATTATTTATGTCATTTATGCTTATGCATCTTCTGACTTGTGATAACAATTCAACTTGCTAACTAATTATTTGGCTCAGTCCCACTTTCAGTTTTAGAAAAGATGGAGGGAAAGACAAACTAAATAAAGCCAAGCAATTCAAACAATACACAAAAAGTTAATTAACATGTTATACTCACAGTATTGCTATTTGTGGCCAGGATTTGGACCATGATTTTTCTTTGCTTAATTGTGATGACATTTTCTGATATAGGAGACTTTCGGGGGGGGGGGGGGGGAGACTACCAAAACTCTGAGCCCTATTGGCTCTTTCAAACAGTTATGTTAGCATTTATCCCAAACAGTTATGTTAGCATTTATCCATCTGTCCACACCAAATTATCGCCAGGACCCATATTTGGAGATTTTTAGTGCTACTATAGCTTATAAAATAGCTTTTCAAAAAATTAAAATACAAAATGAAGACATATAATGAAAGATTCTAATTTTCTGGCAATATTTCTTGCATGTGCAGTAAACACTCTTCTATCATATTTACTTAGAATATGCATAAAATAACAAGTAATCTTAGTATTTAATAATTTTTACTATTTAATGCATAAAGAAGCTATGTAATGAAAATGCCCTAATACTAATGATACGCAATTATAAGGAGTTGATTAAGCCCAAATTCCAGTCTTTTAAAGGACTAAAGAACACTTAGATTATATTTTCCTGTCTTCAAATATTTGTGTAGTGTAATGGAGAAAATGGGGTCTATAAATTAGAATAATTAGTATTATATGTGGTGGTACAGGAACAAGTGCTATATTTGCTAAAACATTCATACAAGAAAGCTAGACCTAGAGGGGGACATTGTGAGATATAAACATTAAAGGAGGATATATTAGAGAGATGGTATTTAGATGTACTTTGTAGGACTTTTGGGTCTAAGATTCCAGCTAAGTTCTCATTTTCTGTTTTCTGAAGCCATGCATTCCATTTTTTCCCTATCACTCCAAGAATAAATATCGGTCTCTCTTTGATTCTTCCCAAAAGAGTAACTAAAAAAATTAATTGGTGAATATAAATTTTACTAAAGTGTGTATGTAAAGGAAAATTATATTATTCATTTCTATAAAATAATTTAAACCAAACCCAAATCTCCTTAGTCATATCTGTATATTTCCAATATCCAATATCCTTATTCTGATTTCTTCTCACATATTTCTTATGCAGTGACAACCTTGGTAGAAAATTTGTCTCTCCTGGATTTTCCAGAGACATTCAAAATCTCCTGTTTATTATGCAGAACATCTCAGCCCAAGCCCATGTCTAACCTTTAAGTTTGCATATTCTGGTTCAAACAAAAGTGCTTCCATTTTCCAGGATCCATCCTCCAGTGGGTACAGTTTTAGAGTACACTTTCGTGTCTTTGAACATACTCGTGGTTGTATTCTCACTTAAGCTAATTTATCACTAACAAATATAATCTTTTACAAATGAATTTACAAATGAATTTACAAATGGAGATATATGTTCTTTTTTACTATAATATACAGATTGACTCTTAAAAGGAGAAGCCTGAATTGACAAGATCAAACAAAGCCCAGAATAAGAAATAAAAATGAATAGTGGACAGCAAAATAAAAAGTTGAAACTTTTGGAGTAAAGTTTCATATAGAGGAAGATAAATTTAAAATCCTAATAGAAAGCCAGGTCATTCAAAAAAATTTCTTAGTACTCTAGAATGTTTTGCTGAGAGATTAGAATCCAACTTAATAAGTATCAGCAGCACCTCAGCAATAGTGACAGTTACAAAGTACAAGAACTAAATTTAGAATAGAAATGTGGTGATGGGTCACAGACTGGGTCAAAGGTGAAAGACAGTGTGAGTAGACAGAAAAGAAAGCATTGAAGCAAACCAAATATGAGATGACTGGGTTTCAAATCAAGGAGGGACAATGGGGAAAAAGAAGGAGAGCGCAGGTGAAGACAGAGGAATCAAATGGCATGCCATGCTAACACACGTGCTGGATCTACGTTTACGCGTAAAATTTAGAGCATTAGAAAACATTTAAATTCCACACATGTTAACTCTGAAAGCAGTCAGGGGCAGATGAAAAAGTTTTGTAATAAACAGTAAATCCTGAAATCAGGTTTTACAAGCTTAAAATAAGCTTAATCTCTTGAAAAACAGAGAATCTACTGGACAGATTCATTCTTATCTGTTTTGTGAATTGAAGACATCCTATGATTTTCTCACAAAAATTAAATATATCTTTATATATTTTGTATATACTAGGATACCTGACTATAATTATGAATTAATTTAATATAATTCTGATAGTGGGTTTTTTAACCCACTGATAATATAATATCAACATATTATATTAATATAATATCAATAATATTTAATATAATTCTGATTAATATATTGTATTAATATAATATCAATAATATTTAATATAATTCTGATAGTGGGCATATTTTGAGTGGTTTCTAAAACGGGGTGGCCATGTTCCAAAAAGCTTACTCAGGCACACTCTTTGTGGAAACTATTAGGACTCCTACCTATACACAATTTAAATTTGCTGTCAGAGTATCTATTTTTGTATATGTGCAAAACACATACAGTTGGGCCAATGTGCATTTTTTGATTTTAAATACATACATTTGTATATAATAAATATATATATTTATTTATCTGTGCATGAGTATATATATATGTGTGTGTGTGTGTGTGTGTGTGTGTGTGTGTGTGTGTGTGGGTGTGTTACCTCTTCATTCTTTTGCACAATGAAAAATATCTGAGATCTACTGTTAGAAGTTATGAACTAAATGTGACTGAAATACCCACAGAAAAATATTAAACCGTGTTAAATCATCTATATATCATTCTTTTCACAGCACTGTTGTACAGAGAAAAAGTACCATCTGAGCCCCTCTGAGTCCAGCCACAACCATACTCTACCACTTGAAAAAAGACAAAGTTTCTTAGCTCCTACTGGAGGAACGCTGGGTGCCATGGAGCAAGGTTATTGGATAAAAAGGCTTCAGTAGAACTAGTCACCTAAAGAAGCCATATCTGGAGCAGGCACTCAGTCACACTCATCATCATGGATACCACCATCCCCCCAGGACTAAAATGAAAATGCTTTGAGGCTCCACACCATTCATATTAAAATGGTTGTTGTCTTTCCTCAACAGACTACCATGATGAACTTTATAAGTGTGATACATTCCTGTATACAATTAAAAATCTATACACCATAGACACCTCCTATACCTTATACACCATTAGAAACCCATGACTCCAGGCCCACATCCAATCATACATATGTATTAATCTGTCATAAATCCTTATGTTTAACCATCTCCAGGACCATCCTATGATATATTTTGACTGATAAGATCTATGATCAACAAATTTCCTCAAATTTTCAAACTACTCTGCATGTCCATCTACCTCTTTCTAACAGAAACTCAATCATATCCTGACAACACCACCTGTAAATCCTTCTCAAATGAATGTGTTGGGGTTTTTTTTGTTTGTTTGTTTTTCTTTAATCACTACATAAATTAGGACTCAAAGATAGGTGAAAAAAAATGAAAGAAAACAAAAAGCACTCTCTGAACATGTTTCCTATCATTCTAATTCAGTTTCTTTTTTATTGATATTTTCACCTTATTGAAAACTCCAATTGATTTTTTTTCTATGAACTCCTCTTTCTCCAAACTATGTCTTCATTTTATTTCCTGTTCAGCTTAGAGTCAATGCTCCAGAATTATAACAACACCCTAGCAAACACTTTTAACTCCCTTCCCCCTTCTCCATCTGTTTTACCTGATTCCTAATTAAACTCAATTGTCTGCCTTCTCCATGAATGCACACATCAGAACTGTTTTGTCTCACCTTAAATTCAAGACTACAAATTTCAAATAATCACTTTGCACCTAACTCAGAAATCTGACTATATTTTACATTAAAAAATTATACTGCCCCTAATCTCTTGCTCATTTTCTATATCCCTTTTAATTTTCTTTTTGCTATTCTTTCTTCATTCTCAGCTAATAGCCTTGATCCATGCTTCACTGGGAAAACAGAACCAATCTGAATGGACTGATTTCACCTTATCAAGAGCAAATGCACATGCACGTGCATTCTCTGCCTTCTATCTTGCTACCATGGATAAAATGTCCCTGTAGTTATCACTCAAGTAAAGTCTCTTTACTAATACCCTGGGCTCTCTCCTCTCTTTATTTGAAGAAGTTATTTCTACTCTCTCCGGCACTATCAGTTTCTCCATTTCAATTGTCACTTCATCATGGGACTATAGGTTGGTGATTGTTAATTTTATATCTAAATTCTCTGAACCTCCCTCAGACTTCTTACTCAATAGGCTTATGTAGACTTCTTAGAGTGATCTCAAATTTAACATGTCAAATGTCTTGATTCCTGTTCTTGACACTCCTATGTTTCTTTCAGTCTTGCCCAACTCATTAAAGATCATTGGTTCCAATCAGTTGCTCAGTCAAAAGTTGAAGAATTGTCTTTGAGTACTACCTTCCCTCACCCCAGTACATCAGTAACTCATAATTGTCCCTATATAAAAAAATCTATCTTAATGTCTAATGTCTCCACTTTGCACTATCTTTACTATCAGTGTATTAACCACAACTTCTTTTTGGATTAACTAATTGGCCTTCTATGTTCTCACATTTTACCCTTACCAACTATTCTGCACACAGTTGCATAAAACTCTTCCAAGAATCACGTCGACATTTGAGACAAATTCTAAACTTGTTTCTAGCTAAAACAGCTCTACATCATCTGCCTTCTTCACAAGGCCTGAAAGATGATCTCACCCTATAATACTCTTTCTCTTGCTTCTATGGTCCAGTCGCATTGCCTTACTGTGGTTTTTTTGAATGCATGGAGCCCATTCTTATTTTAGAAAAATTGTTTGGAATACCATTCCACTTGATTCTCCCATGAATAGTTCTAAATTTGGCTATGTGTGTTACCCACTCAGACAGGCATTCTTTAACCACTCAACCTAATGGAGCCACACTGTCATTATAGCATATCACACTGATTTACATTTTGTATAGCACTTGAACAGCTGGTCCAATTTCTCGTGTAAGTATTTATGTAGTTATTGAATTATAAGTTGTCTCCTTCAATGGTATGTAACTTCTCAGTTTAATGCTGCATTCCTAATTCCTAGAATAGGACTTGATCCATTGTAGGGAAAGTCTTAGGAAACATTTATTGAAAAAAAATTTAAAACATTAATTGATTTTAATGTTGTAAAAAAGGAATCAGTAACCTTCAGAGTTATGAAGATCTATTTGGTTCCCATCTATGATAAAAAAAAAAAAAAAACCTTAGGAACTTGAGTATAAATCTTGCTTTGGAATCTCACAGCTAACACCTTGCAAATTCTAAAAAGCACTTTTTCACCTCATCATGAACAGGGCACTCAAGATATTATTTAACATCTTGACAGAGGTGGATGAGGCTACCTTCAACAATGTTCAGAAGAATAGAAAAATATTAATAACAACAGTAATATTTGCAATTTTTCTACTTTCCCAACTTGTGCTATACTACAGAATAAATATTACATCAGACCCAAGGGGAAATAATTTATTGTTAATTGGAATGCAATTTTTCTCCCCTCTTTTTTATTCTATAAGTTAAAAGAGCCCCCAGTAGATATTTTTTCACTGAAGAGACACAATGTAAGAAAATGAATGCAGGTAAAAATATACACTGTCATTCCATGTCCTACATTGATTTTGCACATATGACTATTTGTATGTCATAACTTAAACTGGCTGTATTCAAATATATATTTTATCTCCCAAATGATTTTCTATAATTTACAGCAGATGATAGGTTTACTAAAGCCAACCTATATCACATAAGCAGAGTAAATCTAGATTATTAAAATATATCAAATTATTTCAGCTTAACGTTTTCTCCAGTTGTGTCAATACGTGCCGTTTTACTTGATTTTAATTAGATAATAATAATAGTAATACAAATCTACTAGCTCTCTTAAATGCAAAAGGATTTTTCTGAGATTTTATAGTTATTCACCCTTGTTAAATGAGATACAGGCTTAAAAAGATCTCAAAGTAGATAAAAGTTTGCGAAGTAATCATTAGTACTATTAGAACACAAATACCTCTCTTTAAAAAAGCCTTCTGAAAGAACTTTAAAACTTAATTCTAGTGAAATAATTAGCATTACATAAAGTATTAGAATTACACGAACTAAAAAGGAATTATAAAAAGATTACTGGTTTGGATTTTTGGTCTAGAATAGACTTCACTAGCTGTTACAGTCCTAGACCAATTCTGTAGTCTTTCTCATCATCCAAGTTCTCATTTAGAGGAGAAATCTCCTGGGGCATCTGGGTGGCTCAGTCGGTTGAGTTTCCAGCTTCAGATCAGGTCATGATCTCACAATTTGTGGGTTCGAACCCCACATCGGGCTCTGTGCTGACAGCTTAGAGCCTGGAGCCTGCTTTGGATTCTGTGTTTCCCTCTCTCTCTGCCCCTCCCCTGCTCATGCTCTGTCTCTCTCTTTCCTTCAAAAATAAATAAAAACGTTAAAAAAAATTAAAGGAGAAATCTCCCAGTGCCAGTTTTTCATAGGCAGCAGCTAGTCCTGTTACACTGAATCAGAAAATAGGTGTGAAAATGGGTGTGTGGTGTGGCAGGAAATAAAATATATAGCTCAGATATGGCTGGATAATATATGATACTTTATAAGTATTATCAAACTGGATTATGAGACTGGGGTAGTAAGAAATTAAAACCTCAGATGTTAATCCTGAGTTAGATAGACTGACATGTATCCTACCCCAAACTGGACATAAATGGGAAACAAGGCAGCAGGTAGCACGGATTTCTAGGCTCATCTGTCCCAGGAGGCATCTCTCCCCATGTTAGCTGCTGAGACCACTGAATTTCAAAAGCATCCATTGAAGAAATAAGGAAGTACTAAGGAACTGCCTTGCTTCCACCATCATGTATATTTGATCTTCTATGTTTATTTTTCATTACTTTGCTGTTAAATTAAAAGTTTTTTTAAGTAAAAGTAATGTTGACCAAGCTATAAATTCATCTTTACATATTAGACTTTATTTAATGAAAAACTCAAATTTTATATCCAAAATCAGATGGACACAGAAACTATGTCTTTACCATTTTCAAATGAGTTATTCTCAGTTTTATTTGTTTTGAATTCATTTTTTCATGGCTAAAAAAAAGAGGGGAAGAGAGAGATGGCCACCTTTAGCACCATTTACTAAATACAACATTCCCTTTTTTTTTTTTTTTTTTAGCGAGATATACAAACACAACTACTTTCTCCTGAAAACTTTGATTATCTAGCTTTTATGTAGTAGTATCTTTTTAAAAATACGATAAGCTTTAATAGTACTGACCTTTAGGGGTATAATGAAGTAACTCTCTAGTGATATATGTGGAAGGTTGCCACATACGTTAATATGCTGGTCAATATGTTTTTCTAACACACCAAACTCTAATTGAATTTGTAGATAATACGACATGGAAATACTAAAAGCTTGAATGGGCAAGAAGACGAATCAAAACCAACACAAATAAATATAATAAGAAAAGTAAAATCCTCAACAGAAGTTAAAGTAATTACAAATTTCAGAACCAGGAGATCTACCCATTTTGCACATATGACTATTTGTATGACATAAACTGTGAGTGCTTCACAGTTTACTGTTACTACAGCTTACCAAAACATGCGTGTGTGAGGGGGACAAGTCACATCTTTCTTGATTAAACATGCAGTCACAATATAACATGTGTCTATAAAACACAAAGATTCAAATTTACAAAAATATATAAAGTATATGCATATAATAAATACATATATACATATAATATGCACATACTTGAATACATTTAATATATGTATATTGATATGTGTATTTTATCTATTTCTTTGTGATAATTCTGGTTTTTCTGTGGTTTATTTTTAGTAATTGTATAATACTTTTAATGTTGAATTATTTGACCCCTGCACACATCCCGTCTAGGTAACATGATGGGGTTTTGCAAATCTTATTTTTCCCAGCTTTGTGCCCCTTCCCTTTTTGTTTTTGTTTCACTCAATTTTCAGCTCTCAGCTCTATCATCAGTCCTGGGAAAACTTTCTAAATCAGGCTAAATTCCTATGTTTTATTCTATCAAATCACCATGTGCTGCTCTTGTCCAAACTAAGGGCAGTTGTAATATTACACTTACTTTATCATTAATTGATTATAGTATACCTCCTTTTTTTTTTAGATTTTAGAATCAGGAATCCTATCCATTTTAATCATTATAATATCTTTATTGTTTAAGTAATGTATTTTCACATATTTATTAAATGTATGAATAAGTACATAAATGTAAATAAATAATAGTATGAATATTCTTATTTCATACTATATCCTTCCTATGTTTGTTGATATTTGTAATTTATAGTCTGTTCTCTTTTGGCTGCAAAGATTCTGTTTGTTTTAATGTTCTGTATTGGCATAAAAGTAGAAATGTACCTGTCTTAAGTTATTTTTTCTTATTATGTAATTTTACTTCTTTTTTATTGAAGTCATTCACATTCATTCATGCATCTTTGAATATAGCAAGAATGTGGCTTTTATATCTGCTGTTTATCTCAAAAAATCTCAATTTAGATAGATGGTCTTACTCTGGATTTTTAGGCAATGTTGCTGTTTCTTTATGATATAATTTTATTAGTTCTGTGGTATACTTTTTTACTTATTTTTTCTTATGTCTATCTTTGAATATAAAGGTGTATATTCAGTATTTCCATCTCTATTTTGCATCAGAATGCAAGTACGTTGCTCCTCAGGTTTGCCATTGGAATTGTGAATTTCTACAAGCAATAGCACTGTCTCAGGGATATTATGGAAAAGTGTGTGTGTGTGTGTGTGTGTGTGTGTGTGTGTGTCTGCGTATGTATGTAAGGGGATGTGTGGGAAAGAGAATATAGCAGTTTTTACGTTGTTCAGTAAAATGGTCTTTGGACACTTTTGTTTTTGTGCCTGCTAAAATTATTTTTAAATAACTACATTTCCTTGTTAGTAAATTGACATCTCAAATATATAAGCATGCAACTCCCAAAGAAAAATATGTGTATAAAGTTAAACAATATTTTCCATTTGTCCACAGCACTTTGACTTTATTTTTTTCTGAATGAGTTGTAATCCCAAGTATTACTGGTATACAATTTAATACATTACAAATTAAATATATTGCATATTTTGGTAATTAAATATTAAACTAAATGAATACTTTTTTATTAGATGATTTTGGCTGTTTTCTTGGATGCTTATTACTGTTCTGATAAAAGCAAGATTTACCATCAATTCTTTTTCTACTTTGCATTCTTATAAATGATTATTTTGAGAAACTTTGCTTTCTTAAAGCAACATCACTCAATTTTTTCAACTCCCTGGTATGCACCAAAAATCGCAAAGTGAATTAGCAACATTGATGATGTTTAGTGATCTTTAAGCTGACATTTTGAATATGTTTACCATCAATTTTTGAAAGCAAAGATTGTAAGCCATAGGGATTCTAAAGGTTTTTTTTTAATCCAATATTAGAGCTGCTTTTGTAATTGCTGAGAAATGTAACCAAGGCTTTTATCAAGATTTGTAAAACAACAGTTAATTTTACCTGTTACTCTTTTACTTAGAGAAACTCAGAAAAGATTAGGAAATTAATTATTTCATTTTAATATATTTCTGCGAACAAAAAAATTGGTGGAGGAGATTTTTCTCAATTTTCCCATTTGAAAATTAATTGACATACATCCCTGTGTAAGTTGAAGGCATACAGCCTGATGGTTTGATTTACATAGATGGTTACTGTGATAGGTTCAGCTTATCCATCTTCTCATATAGATACAATAAAAAGAAAAGAAAGGAAAAAAGAAAAAGAAAAAAGTCTCCTTCTGAAGAGAACTCATAAGATTTATTTTTAACAACTATAGCAGCAGCAGCATTAGCTACAGTCATCATGGTGTACGTGGCGTCCCGAGTACTTATTTATAAATGGAAGTGTTTACCTTTTGACCCATCTTCCTCCATTTTCCTCTCCCTTCACCCTCTGCCTCTGGTAATCACAAATCTGATCTGATCTCTTTTCTTATAAGTTTGTTTTTCTTCTTAATTTTTTTAGATTCCATATATAAATACTTTCACCATACCTGTGCTTAGATCTACAGATTTGACATGCAGAAAATATTCATCACATAACATAAAAGAAAAAGCAGTCTGCATTTTCATTCAACCAGTAAGACTTACTTTCTGTTGAAATATAAACCTTACTACAGTTTTCTGCAGAAATGAACATATTAATGTGTTTTCAAGCATATTATAAGAGCCACTATGTTATATAAGGGGGAAAAAAAACAACTTTGTTGAATGCACTATATAAAATGGACTAACAAATATATCTAGGTTCAAGGTAAAATGACATAGATCTAGTATAAGTTATTTATTATCATATAAGAGTAACCAAATTATGTCATATTTTATGAATTATTTTGTAATAATGAAGTATAACTAAAACATTATAATGATCATGATAAAATGCATATTATTTTTCAGTAATTGTATATATCGATCAGGTGCTTAGATTTTAAAACCATCTTTTAGAGGTCATAATTAAACAGTTATAATTCCACTTATTTAATTGTGAATAACTAACTCTTCCCAAACTGAATACTACATTTTTTTCAATGTCTACTTATTTTGAGAGAGACAAACAGAGAGTGCAGGCAGGGCAGAGATAGAGAGAGAGGGAGAAAGAATCCCAAGCAGGATCTATTGTTGCAGCGCCTGACTCAGGGCTCGATCCCAGGAACCATAAGATGACCTGAGCAGAAATCGAGAGTCAAATGCTTAACAACAAAGCCACTAGGCTCCCCACTAAGATCTTTAATTATTGCTCTGGTAGAAAATACTTAAGCTTGCATAGCAAAAAAAAAAAAAAAAAAAAAAAAAAAAGGGGGCGCCTGGGTGGCGCAGTCGGTTAAGCGTCCGATTTCAGCCAGGTCACGATCTTGCGGTCCGTGAGTTCCAGCCCCGCGTCAGGCTCTGGGCTGATGGCTCAGAGCCTGGAGCCTGTTTCTGATTCTGTGTCTCCCTCTCTCTCTGCCCCTCCCCCGTTCATGCTCTGTCTCTCTCTGTCCCAAAAATAAATAAACGTTGAAAAAAAAATTTAAAAAAAAAAAGCTTGCATAGCAAATAGATTTTATTATGCATAATTATTTTTATTTTACCCATTTTGTATATAGTGGGTTATATTGTAAAAATTATGTATCTAGGTCAGTTATATTCCCTGTAGGTATCAAGCTAATAAAAGGACATCATAAAATATTTGCTTTCTGTGTGATAGAGTTTAAAATCACAAAATTTGATGTAAAGCAACCTGGTTTAATTGGTGATGTATAGCATGCACTAATCTCTCTGCTGACCTGAGGAACACCAGAATTCCCCTTCTTCTGATCATCAGATACGCTTTCAATGTAGCTTGGGTACTTTGAAATGTATTGCATGAAAAGTTACATCCCTTATGTATCGGTATCATCATTATATCTAACTGTTCAGAGTGTCAATATATTCTCCTCTGTGTCTAAGGATTTTAGGATGCTTTTCACACTTTCCTTTGACCTACATTCTCCTGGATTATGCATTTGTAGTTACGGCATCCTATGATGTAAAAATCAGAAAGCTGATGGCAGTGGAATGATGAATAAAGTATTAATTTTAGTCAGTACATTCAGCAAATGGCCCCCAGTTTGTTTAGATTATTTTCTGTTCATTGCAGTACCTGTGTCCTTGAATGAAAGGTATATAATAGGGTTAGTTTGAAAAAATTCCTACTCTTCAGGGGTTATCAATCGACTTAGATTTCAACCTAAACGGTATTTTAGTCCAAAATTACGTTTTGTAATCCACCTACGTGAGTTGCATAATTCATATAGAATCCATACAGATTATGGGTCATGAATTTTTATTAATTAAGATTAGAAGACTGGGGTGCCTGGGTGGCTCAGTTGGTTAAGCATCCAATTTCGGCTGGGGTCATTGTGGGTTCAAACCCTGCATCAGGCTCTGTGCTGACAGCTCAGAGCCTGGAGCCTGCTTCAGATTCTATGTCTCCCTTTCTCTCTGCCCAATCCACTGGTGCTCTGTCTCTTAAAAATGAATAAATGTTAAAAAAATAAAAAGATTTGAAGACTGATGAAGGGCTACATATTGCTTGCCAGTACCTGGTTTGACTTGTAAATACTTCTGCTACTAAGAGGAACAAAATTATTCTTTGTTTTCAAAACCCTGTAGAGTTGTGGATGTGTTTTGTTTCTTTATAAATAGTCTCTTCTTATAGTGATTCTCTCATCTCTGTCACCTCATCTCTTTTTAAACTCCAACCCACGCTACTCTGGCTCTAATCCTCTGAGGACTGCTTATAGGTACAGTCACTCTGTTTTATACAGTCTGTATTTCACAGTAGGACACATATTTCTGAACACTAGCTTAATTTCAAACTCTCTTTCCCAAAAATATGGAGCAAAATGTATATCAAAACTAATGCTTTCATCCTTTTTTAATATTTTTCAAATTATCTGGTGTTCCCCATCATATATGACTTCCACTCATTTCAAAGTTTGAAACAATGAGTCAATTTGATTATTGTCTTTTCTGCATTTAATACCTAGTGTTCATTCTTCTAAAGTTTAATGAAGACTCAAATGTCTTAGGACGTCTGATGTTAATCGTTATCAAGTAATTCCTAGCTCTTTGCTTGCTTAGGATCTAAATGTAGTATCATTTATTTAAATAACTATGATGTTCTTTAAATGATGTCAGTTAAGTTATAAAATAATGCCATCTATTTGTAGATTATTTCATTAGTCTCATAATGGAACTGCAGCCATATTTATATGTCATCACATCTGGAATCCAAATTTGAGGATTAAAGAAGGATTTTAGTCATAGTAGAAAAATTCATAAGTGAAATTGCTGATGTTAAAAATCTTAAACGTATCACAGTCGGTTTTAGTTTCTTTATTGAATCTCAGTTATCATTGTTTTCCTTTCTGGTAGCCTCCAATTTACTCTTTCTCATAAAGTAATGTATATATCTCTTAAAATTTCAGACGTATTTGTACTCAATGTGCTTATTTTTCTAAACTCAAAACATTTTTGTCTTACATGTTAAATTTTATATCTGTAGTTGATTTCTAGATTAAAAAATTAGGTCTTAAAATATGCTTTAGATGTGTTTTTATATTAATTTTCTTATGTCATGAATAATGTATCATTGCCAAACTAAAAGCTTTAAGCATAAGCTTTTTCATCTTCTGCATCATGATGAGGGTATAAACTATAACAATTAGTATGTCAGTGATTATATTTGTTGAGGAATATTTAAAAGTCAAACAAAATCAGATAACGGAAAGAAAATCTTTCATATGTACCTTTATTCTTTGTTTCAGTCATTCCCAAGATGCCTTTTATGCCCATGCCATTTCAATTACTGTTGGTCTCTTCTGATGTTTCTTATTTCAGTTTCTTGGCTTCAATTCAATACACTGAAGGAGGAAAAGGGAAGGTGTGTTTTGTAATACTTAGTGTACAACGCCTAAATTATTTTTAAGTGCTATGAATAGCGAATCATCAAAGGACAAATTAAGGAGGCTTTCCAAAAGAAGCATCAGAAATCTTGCCTTTCACCTGTATTATTGTGAAGATTGCCGTGGTCCTGATGTTGGGGGGAGAAAGAACTTGGAAGAGATTGGAGGATTTAGTGATATTTTAAAATTTATATACATTCAGTTTCATAGAATTTCATAGAAACTCAGTGCACTTTTATAGAATCAACTTTGGACATGGTCATTCCCTGAATTTCAGAGTAAAGTAGGAGTGCCTCTCAATCTTGTAATATTTTCTTAGTCTCCCAAAGGACCTAACCATCTAAACTGTGTGTAGAAGAGAAAATAAGTAGAGTTAATAGTAGTGAAAATTGTCACTTTATTGTTCATAGTTTACCAGCATAGTTTCAGCATTAACTCTTAATTCCATGGTTCACGTAAGTATCATATAAGATCTTCAGCTCCATCAAAAAAAAAAAACAAAAAAACACTCATTGTATGGAAGTGTTGAATCACTATATTGTACACCTGAAACTAATATAACACTG